ACTAAAGACAGACGGAGAGAAAGGAATGGTAAGTGATCACATTATGCTTGTGTCGTGCTTGATTTCAAAACTGTCATCCTTGTTGGAGCCCTGCCATGTTTGGAGGGCTTGACCTGTGTCTTGGTTTGTTGCCTGTATAAGCTCTAGAGAGTTCAAAGACCTTATTATGTCTTTGCAAGTTGTTTTCCACTCTGCCTTCCTCCTCTCCTTTTTTCCTACTTTTCCAAATAGCTTACAATAGTATTTAAAAATCTTATATTTCCACATGCATAGAGGGGAAAAAATGTTTAGAAGTGCATTCATTTTTTGTGAAAGGTCCCATTTCCCCATAAGATTTTACTCCTTGCAATGGGCACAATGCAAACATAATAATTATTTTGGCAGAGATATAATTATGGTTTTTATTGAGATGCACAGCTTTGCATATTTATGATACATACTACATTAGTCATTAGTATCTAATACAATTTATGGTTTGTGGGTTTTAAAAGAAATTTTAATATATTCTTTCAAAGACTGGGGCTACAGAAATGTTTTCTGATGTTAAATATGTGTAGTATTTACTATAGTGATATTTTCTTTGTACAGTCATAGTGCTCCAGTAGTTCAGAACTTGGAGCCTGGGACTAAGCAGACTTTCTGATGCGTCTCCAAGATCTTGCCAGAAGTGGAACCCATTGAACTGTGTGAGTTACTGAAATGTTTTTTGGTTTTGCTTATGTTTTTTACTCTTGTTACTTAAGCCATCATGACACCTTGTTCACCTTGTCTTGTTGCCCAGACTGCTGCTGTGCTATCTCCATAGCCTGGGGTCACATGTAAATTTTTCAAAATGATAAATTTGCCTGTTTTGATACTGTGGACCAAGCACCAAGAAACAGGTAAACTGCATTTCCCATCCTCCTCGTTGCCTATGGAATGGGTGACTGGGATGCCTGACTCAGAGCTATCAGACCAAAGCCAGGCTCTCTGTAATGATTACTCCAGGCTGGCAGAAGCAGTGAAAGAGTATTTCCTTGCTTTCCCTCATGTTCTTTCTGAGGTTTGTGCCGTGCAAAGGATGAGATCTGGAGGATGATCAATACGCAGAGGGAATAACAGGGGCATGCTGAGGTCAGGCAATAGAACTGGGGCAGTGAGCTTGGTAGGGTCTTAAGTTGGCCCCATTATGCAAGCACTTTACCTTATGGCCTTTAATCATGTGATTGCCTTATCCCCCTTCCTCACCCCAACCCTGCTTCATTCTGGCACAGAATCTGTTATAAGAATGAAGCAAGGCTCTTGTCCTTGGGATCCTATTAATGAGATTTGGTTTGGTGAATCTGCAAGTTGTGCAGGTATGTATAAAAATGTGCAGGAAGACGAAAGAGAATCTCTGAATTAAGGCAGCTGAATGCTGTTCTGGAAAACTGGATTTTATCCTTACAGCTGTCACAAAGACTCAGCATGAGGTTTAATCACTTTTAAACAATGCCTGTACATGTTTACTAATCGTATGCTCATGCCTGCTGCATATCCTGGGGTTAGAGTACCAACCTGCTGCAACACTCTGAGAGCCAGGCTTTGAGGAGTTAAAGTTCTACATTAATTGTAAGTAGTTGTAGATAAAATCAGGTTCTAACATGTCACCATGGGAACTTAAAATTAGTGGATGCTTTTTTGTGTCAGCCCACCTACCTATGTGAAAAAGAGGGATGATAACATAGTTTCACAGAAGTGTGAAAGAATTAAGTACATTCAGATACACTGATGAATACCTCAGAAAACCTATGAGGAAATGAATTGTAAATTATTACAACTGGCCTTTAATACTGCTTAATACATAGGACATAAAAGACAAAAAAATTAAATTAAATACTTGCAAAGTGAGTAGTTGCTGTACTCAGGTCTGAGGCAGGGGTCCTCTAATTACATCCTCACATCATAACTTATTCATGAAGACTGACTCACTCTTTCAGAATAACCCAGTTATGGTTCTGCCGGTGATCACAGTTTGAGCAGTTCTTGGCTTTTGAACTGCTTCGTAACTGAAGTGCTTGGAGGTAGTGTGGGTAGATGTATTTGCTTTGTAGAAATATGATTATTACACGTGCAACCTGCAGTATGGTTCCAAATACCCCACTTTTTAACACCATTGCACATTACTGATGAACTTTACAAAAGTAGTGCGAGACCCTCCAGCAAAGCTCCTGCCTTCCGCATGCAGGCTGGGACAAGACGGGCTGTCAGCACTGCTCCAGCCTGCAGCTCTCTGCCAGCACCTCGTTTCCCGTTCGGGTGAGTTACACCCAGGCTGTGCCCAAGCGACAGTCTTTCAAACAACTGCTTTCCAGCTCGTGGAGGTGTTCATCTGCCACGGTCATGTCTCCTAACGCTCTTTTCCTCTCCTCCTTCTTCCCCCCACCAGATGCAGCCAAGCCCCATCCCTCCGGGTACGGAGCACCGGGAGGAGGGCTAACGCATCCCGCAGCAGCCGCCCGGGAGGCGCTGCTGGACGGGGCACGGAGCGGCGGGGCCGGTACCCTATGCTGAGCCCCACACAAGCCAGCGGCGGCTCTACTCACCGGCTGCCGGTAGCAGCAGCAGCAGCAGGAGGCGCAGGGGCATTGCGGGGCGGCGGGGTCCCACGGGTGGCGCGGCGGGTGCGGCTCCGGTGGCGGGGCGAGGAGGTGTGAGCCTGACTGCTCCGTGTTGCCTATAAGAGGCTGCTTTCTGCCCCGGGCCAGGTCCCCCGAGCCCCGCTGTCCATCTAGGCAGAAGGGAGGAGCTGCCGCTGCAAGAGCGGGAGCGCTGGGTCCGGACACTCGGCCACGGAGCGGGGGAAGGGACCCCTAAGGGGGGTGGCGGGGGGGGAGGGGAAGGCTCACCTCCGTACCCCAGGGCTCGCCAGCTCCTATAGCCGTTATTTCTCTTTGAGTTACAGCACTACCTAGGTTATTTAATCTCGACCCGAAGAGTTAAGACGGCAGTGAGCCGTGTTGTAAATTCTTCTAGTGGTTAATTATAACCGGTGCTGAATGCAAGCGCTGTGCCTGTACTCTGAATCTGCCAAACTTCACCTCCCGATTGCTACTTCTCTTGGAGAACTAAAGAACAATCAACTCCTGAACTGGTTATGGATATGTGTAGCTGGATCAAAACAACTTTTTAACTTTCTCTCAACCAAAACAGAGTATTTTTTGGTACCTTGTATAATCTTTGGATATTTTTTCCCATTACCTTTCCAGCTCTTATAATATTTTGTAAAGCCTACAACTAGATGCCAGATTGCAATCACACTTTCATTGCCTCTCAACCCACAGAAAATACTGCTTGCTTTTGTGTGATCTTATTTTTCCTTGCTCATAAGTTCCAAGTATTTCATCAGACAGTGCATTTTCTGGCAGTTGTTCAAGCAGTCGGGACCCCTGAAATTCTGGGTATTGATCTTGTGTGTGTGTTTCTGTTTAAGTTTTTTGTTTGGGTTTTGTTTGGTTTGGGTTGTTTTGGTTTTTTTGTTTGTTTGTTTTTTTTTTTTGGGGGGGGGGATGTTTTTGTTTGTTTCTTTTTGGGTTGGGTTGTTTTTTTTTCTGTTTTGGCGTTTTTGTGGCATCATTATATTCCAGGATATGACCCCCATAGATCCCACTGAGGCCTACACTGCTAGGATAAAGAAGGAGGGAAACAAAGGGGATTTTACAGAACTTACCAAGAACTTTTTCTTCATCATGTCATCTTACTGTTGGAGAGCAGCTGGTAGGCTTTTTGGTACCGAATGATATTTTCATCAAAGAAATGAAATGCTTTTTCATGTGCATACTGAAGGATAATTTTACTTTTGCATTGAAGTGCTCCGATTTCTGCCTTACATCACTCCTCTTTAATCAGAAGTAGAAAATCCTATGTGGTCTGATTCCAAAAGGCTAAAAGCATGCACAGACAGATGAGGTTTGTTTTTGTTATGCTCTTACTAATCCACACTCTATGAAATGTTTGTGTTGGCACTGAAGTTAGGGTAGCGTGGGATAAATATGGAAGCACATCAGTTTAAGGTAGGATATCGTTATGCCTGTGTACACCTGATACACCTTTGTGTAACTACATGGTGAACACCAGAGATGATGCATTAGCCCACTGAAAACTGTCCACACTCTGTTGTGTCTGTGAACATAGCTGACCATTTCCCAGTGGGGATGGACTAGAATACCAGCGAAATGGAATCTGTGGCAACCATAACCATTGTCAATGACCATAAGAAGTCTTGGTAAATGTACAAGTCGTAAGAGAAAACCAGTCAAAACAGAAAACAAAAAAAAAAAGGATTTTTCTTTTTTTAAATATCCTTTTTTTCCTTTTTTTTTTTTTTTTTAAAGATTATGCTGCTCCTGCCATCAACTGGGTCAAGGCAATTTCCGTGTTACTCATGGAGTCTCATTGCTAATTGCTGTTAGTCCATTTTCATACTGTCACTTATACTGCATTTGTTTACTGACTCTTCCGGTCCATAAGTCACACCTATTAGAACGTTTTAATAGTGTTCAACAGCTGTTTAGTGCAACTTCCAGTTGAACAGTATCCCATCCAGCATACCATTGGATATGACAATGAAAACAGTATCCAGAGGAGAAACGTGAATGTTCTTCAGGAGACCAGTTGATGCAATGTCTTAGTGTACTTGGTGTTGGATTAGTGCAGTTGATACGTTTTTCACTGAAGGAAGGAAAGTAATCTTAAAACCAGTGAAAAATCAAGTGAGACTGATGTGTTCAGACTACAGCTGCTTCTACCAGAAAGTAGTCAAAGATGTGAAAGTGACAAAATCTACATGACTAAGAAATGCAAGTCAGGAGTTCTGCTTCCTACAAGTTGTAGTAAGAGTTCAAAGGAGAACATCTAGTGAAACTGGGATGGGAGGCAGAGAAATCTCATAGAAGGAAATACTTATATTGAGGTAGATTTAGGTTGTCCAGTTAAGTGCCATGGCATATGGCTAAGAAAATATACTAGTTGCAGACTGGAAGTTAATATGGATTACAATGATAATGATTTATTTTTTAAATGAGATTTCCAATTCCCATAAAATTTTCAAATAAATCTTATGTGGCAGTGCAGACCTGTTGTATTTGCTTCTTGTAGTGTTCCTTTTCATTTATCTGAAGCATTTGGTGACTGGTGTAAGTCATTTATGACAAATTGCATTTTCCTTTTCACTGAAGAATTCTTTTTGGCAACTGGAGCTGTGCATAGGTGAGGAGAAGCATTTGCTTTTCAAATATACTTTATCAAACAAGGTTGCATGTGCTCAATGGTTGCTTTAATTGAGTTGGTTTTAAATCTGAAAAATAGATTAATATAATTGAGACACACAGTTGTACTGAGGAACATTTCTCACAGCATAACAATATTATGGGCAAAACTGTTAAGTCAATTGTAAAAGACTCATTTCTCAGTGTCCATGATCCTGTATATGCAGGAAGATGACAGAGTACATTAATCCAAAATGTTAAAATGTTGATGGAAAGTGCTAGAATGGTCTAAAGTATGGTTAATGTAAATCAAGTTACCACTTTCCTGTGAGCAGGTGAAATTAGTGACTTTGAGAACAATGTAATAGTATATTTACTACTGACTAAACAGCTGCAAAGCTGTATTTTTGTAACAGAAGAAGTCAGTTCCATTAACACTTTCTGTTTAGTAAGAGCAGTTATTTTTACAGAGAAATGAGAAAGCATTTACCACCTGCCTGGTGAAATCTATACATATTCTGCATTTAGCTGTTAGGAAAATCAGTAGTAATGATGATGAGTATGGAAATAATATGGTCTCTTGGTATCTAAGCAAAGTCCTACAAAATTAGGATCCTGCTGCATTAAGCTTGTGACAATTAAGCTATATGATATATTTACTGCCCCACTGAATGAATGAACTAATAAAGAATGGTGAAAATTATTTTCCCATTGTTAGAGATGACAGGGTGATCTGTTCGGGGTGTTATATGATGGCTATAGCAGAGCTGAGGAGCTGCACCTTGGTGTTCTGCAACCCAGCACAAGTCCCAGATTGGGTTCTTCTGCAGCACTGACTCCTGGAGGAAAATAAGGAAAGAAAACACATACCTGATACACTGTGAAGGTATCAGAATAACCAGAACTGAAGAGCTGCTTTCCAGCAGTAAGTCAACTGCCTGAATTTACTTGATTGCTGTACTTGGCAAATGTTGGACAGAGCCTTGGGTGACATGGTCTAGGTTGAGGTGCCCCTGCCCATGGCAGGGAGCTTGGAACTGTATGATCTTGAGGTCCTTTCCAACCCAAACCACTCTATGATCCTATGTCCTAAAGTTACACCACATTTTCTTAAACATTGGACTGGGACACAGGGTTGGCCTGGAATACATCCCTTACAAGTTTAAGTTCCTTCAGGTACTGGATGTCCAAGTAGTACACAATCAACTTCTTTTATCATCGTTGTCTTCGTAGAAGAAACAAAATAGCCTTACTTACTGAAGTATTTGTTTGGAAACATGCAGTGCCTTTGTTCCCATTTTTAGAGGCTTGGCTGACTTTCTTCTCTTTCATGTCCTTCCATCTTCTCTTAGTTCCTTTTCACAACCAATGCTTCCTGTTTACGGATGTTTTCTTCAGCTCGTGTTGTTGGGAATGTTGTTCCAAAACCCATGACAGTTAAAAAACATAGTCTGGAGAGACAAGCTCCATGTGGAAGATCAGAAAACATTCTGATGAGCTGTTTTATAGTATTTCCAATGTACTTGGTATTATATCTATTTCTAGCATACAGAACAAAATCCAACTTCGATTTAGGACCATACCAGCGTATAGTATAACTTGTCATGTCTTTGGTAATAGTAAGCCTATGAGTGGCATAATATGTTCTGAGAGAATTTTGGGGAGCGTGTTTGTAGCATTGTCCTTTATATGCCCTTTGGCAGTGATGTTATTCTGTCCATTCTGCAGAAATACTGTGCTAGTGCATAGCTGCCCATAACAGACAGTTGTGTGCTGGAAAAGCTGTCATTACATAAATGTTCTTGAAAGTGGTTTATATTTATAATGTATGCAGAGGAGCTAAATTACTCCTACAGGTTTCTTCTTTCATCTCTCTTTTTTCTGGTTTTGTTCTCTTGCAGATTCTACCCTCTGCTCCTTAAGTGTAACAGCTACAAGCACAAAGTCCATCCTGTGCATAAAACCACCCAGGCAAATAACAAGATTGCAAGTATGTTCCCGGAGTACCACGTAGACTGATGCAACTCTGGTCATTTTAAGATACAGAAATATATCATCTGTCTTTGAGCAAAGCCACAGACAGGAAGATTCTGGGGAAGGGCCCTATAAATAATTTCTGACTTGCTTGGTTCTTCGGTCTCAACAAGCATCTCTGCCTTCCAGAAGATTTCTTACAGTAAATCAAGTTCTACATTTCAGTATTTGCATCCAAAAAAAAGACCAGGGCCTGCTTCTTCTGGAACCTAGGGCTACATTTTATATCTAAAGGAAAAGATAGATACTCAGCAATGCAACTCCTGCATTTCTGTACAACAAAATTTGAAATCTCTAGCATATCTCTGGAAGGATGTTTGACTTGCTTGCTTTTACATAGGTTACACCAACTTGGATTCTTGAAATGGTTGATGTAATGACCAGCATGATGAGATAGAGTGACCTCTCAGCAAATTTGTGGGTGATACCAAATTGGGGGAGTGGTTGATACACTGGAGGGCAGGGCTGCTACTCTGATGGACCCAGTCAGACTGGAAAAAGGAGCTGCTGGGGAACCTCATGAAGTTCAGCAAAGGCAAATGCAAAGCCCTGCATCTGGGTTGGCATAACCCCATGTGTTGTGACAGGTTGGGAACTGACTGCATAGAGAGCAGCTTTATAAAAAAGAAGCTGGGGGTCATGGTGCACAAGCTGAATGTGAGTCAACAGTGTGCTCTTGCAGCAAACATGTCCAGCTGCTTATTGGGCTGAGCACAACTGATAGGTTTGGAGGCAAGAGATTCTTCCCTTCCACTTGACACTTGTGAGACAACATTTGGAGTTCCAAGTCTCATTTTAAGAAAGACATTCACATGCTAAGCAAGACTCGTAAGGGCCACCAAACTGTTCAGGGGGCTGCAGTTGATGACATACAAAAAGCTGAGAGCACTGGATTTGGTCAGGTTTAAAGATGGTGAGGGGAGGTGATATGCTGACTACTACTTCCCCACGGAACAGTGTAGAAAATATGGAGTCAGATTCTTCCCAGAGGTGCACAAGAGGCATTTGCTTTAATGGAACCTGCCTTGAGCAGAAAGTTGGACTGTAGACTTGAAGGGAAAGAGACTCCAAAACTGCTGCTTGTTTTGCCTAAAGGTGTTCATGAAACTATGCCCTGCAGGCAGGTAAGGCAGTAGCCTGTTCTACTGCAATAACAAATTAATTGATTAATTATTTTTCCCACATATCACCAACTAAGCTATGTAAATGCATTGGGGAAATCATCCATACTGAATTCAAAGAGAGCTGAGACTTTGCCTACTTTATTAAATAGACAGCTTTGTCATAAACAGCACCAGTGCCCTTTTCATAAAGAAATACTTTACTGTCAATCTGACTCACTGTTCTGAAACCCCATTTCTGTGCCTTTGTCCATGTTGACCATTTCTGAATCTTCTTCCATTTCTATTTTTACTGAGATGGGGGGAAACTGCAGAATTGTACAGTATTCAAGGTGAAGACAGACGGTGGATTTATAGAGACTGTGCAGACCACATTCTGCTAAGAGGGAAGGGACAGAAATGCGTGTTATGATTTTGTGTAACTTTTCCTTTTAGTATGTCTACTGGCTCTTTGTTGTCTCTAACTGTTTTAAATTGCTTAAAAACAGAATGCAGATTTTTCTTACCTGTTTATTTGTTCACCTCTTATTGTCTTGTTCTATAACACCCCATTTGTCTGGTCTACTTTTCACAACCTCTCTGTTCATGATGTCTGCTTCCTCAGCTGTGAAGAGTTTAATGGCAACTGGATGCTTGCCAGAAGATAAAATGCCTAAGTTATGTGTCCATCAAAGGAAGAGTGAGTAGAATGTAGCCCTTGCCTGTTCTGGGCTAATCAGCACAAGGGCTACATATCTTTAAACAGCTTAAATGCCATCAAGACTGCTTTGGGAACTAGGAAATTCAGTGTATTCTTGAGAGACAAAGTACTGAGGGATGGGGAATGTCTGGATTAGCTAGAGAATTTATCAGTAGGAAACAAGTGAATACCAGAAATATGGTGGTAGTTTAAGACATCTCAGATCAAAAAGTATCAACAGGATCTTTCTGTTGCTGTTGGACTGTCTCCCATCTTTACTTTTGCTTTGCAGTGTGGTTGGGATGAGGAGTAATTGAACCAGGGAACTGTCAGCACTAGCATCATGATTTGCTACACCTGAAATAAACAAGGTACTTCCAAATCAGCCAAAAGATGTAAGAGTCATTTGCCAAGGAGTATGCATGGAGTGTAAGTGCACAACATGCAGGGCAATGTTCAGTAAAATGTTTGCTTAGCTGCTATTGTTTAGCCACTAGCTGCTGTTTTGATTTCCAGCGAGAAGCAAGGATTTTCATCTCAATACAAGGCAAGAGTTTAAATGCATTCTCTAATCTGGGCCATCATGACAAGCATATTATTAAGTTTTCTATGTAGGCCTATTTTCCACCACATTTAGAAAACACAAGTGCCATGGGTATTATGTTATATAAACAATTTAGAACAATTTATATATCCTGTAATTATAAAGACTTAAGCTTATGCTTCTTTGCAGTATCAGTTACTGGCTTAAGAATACTTTTTCCTAAAACTAAGAAGGCGTTTATGACTCTATAGGTTTTATATTTCCTTAAAAGTGATCAGTTACAGACAAGAAAAGACATGGTCAGGACATTTACAACAGAAGACTTGCAGACTCATTATCAGAAAAAGCTAAGAAAACAGTTGAGTCTGAAGGTAGCTGCTGTAGTGAAGTCCCAGTACCTTGTAAATATGCACTGCTCAGGCAAAATACTGATGCTTAACTTGCAGAGTTCACTAAATCTTCAAACACATATAGAAATGCTGCAAAATTTCCATTGTACATATTGAAAATTAGGACACCAGTCAGTTTGGCAGTTTTAAGCCTTGGTTGTTCTTTTTGGTTTCATTTTAATACAAGGAAGATGTCCTGATCCAAATACATAAATTGCTTCCTTGGTTTAAAATAAAACAAATTCCTAATGATGATGCTTTATTTACTGAATTGCACAGAGTCGAAAAATTCTTGTCTACAGCTCCTGTAACTAATAAAGTTCATACCATCCTTAACACATAGAGGGGCTCTATGCTTTAAAATAACATATATGAAGAAAATTGTTCCTACGTATAAAAAGTTCTAACTGGATATGAGATGCCACCACAAAATTAATACATCATATACCACAAACTGCCCCATTTGTACAACAGTGATGGAACTGTCATTCTCTTTGCATTTACTATACAGAATCAGGAAGTTTGCTATGCTGCGCAGAACAGGCCTTGCTAACTGGCATCAGGATGTGCAAGATAGCAAGAAAAAGCAGGAGCAAGGAATCAGTCATAGTAAAGTTTTAAAAATAATAGCTTTCTTTTCAACTCACAATTTCTCTTCAATTCACAAGGATTGTGAATCTTGCTAAATGGATTTAAATTCTTTGAAGCACTAAAGCTTACCTAAAATACATGTAGCATCAAATCACAGGTGATCTCAAGAACCAGCAGCTGAAAGGTGACTAGGAACAAAGCAGTCCATTCCTCCAAGGCCTTCTTTGGTAAGTTCCTAATTTCAAATTTACATTATAGCTTTCACTGACTTGCTTTTCACATTTTGCAGAAATCAACAGTCATGTTCCCAAACAGCCATTTTTCTGTGCTCATGAAACTCTTTCAGATGGCAAGTACTAAATATATTTTCCTCTTTTATGGTATAAAGCTTAGCACATTTTAATTGTTTCTCAGTTACTTCACCATAGGCATTTTCTTTTAAATGATGTAGAATGGTAAAAATTTTGTCTAGCTTTGGTTTGTGTCAATGGCATCTCAAAAAACAGGAATAATATGGGACTGCATATAAAATTTGATGCTGATAATATTAGATGATCTTTTAAAATAAACAGCTTGTGCATACTTGACATTTTTGCTTCACAGAGCAAAATGGTACCGCATACACAGAGTATTGTGAATTTTACATGTGGTCCGCAAGTAAGATCTGCATGCTTAATGGTGACTTTATATTGCTCTGAGAATCCCAACCTTTTCATTTCCTAATTCTGTTTGGAATTCTTCAATGCCATGTTAATGTTTAAATGTTGCTCTAGTTATTTCCTCTGCCAGAAAGAAGAAAAGATAAACCCTTATTAGTTTATACACAATATAATCCCTAGGAAGGATTTGCCAAGAATAGATAATCTTTGCTTGTGTGCAGGTCTTATTTAGAATGGAGCGTCAAGAGGAGGCATACCCAAACTTAATTACATAAGCAATTCTAATTAATTCTGTAAAATACTATACTGAATTTTACTTTAGATTGTTTTGTTCTGAGAGCCACCAAACAAAATACCTGTATAATATTTATTTTAAAAAACAAAAGTTATGACTGTACGTCACTGTCAAATCCATGGATGTTCAAGGATAACTGTGTTGAGATGCTGCTGGAGGTTCATTTTTTTCACCTCCAGAAAAGTGGTATTTTTCATTTGTTACTTTTTGTTTAAGCAACATTACTTTTTGTTTAAGTTTGCCTGCAGATGTGTGCAAATGTGTTTTGCATATGCATATAATGAAGTAGAATTAAAATGTAAAGCAAAGCAGTTAATTCTCTGCAACAATTTCATCCTGATAGTAGGGAAGCGAATGCATCTTCCTCCGGGCAGAAAGCAAGCACTAAATAATATAAGCACTAAACAAACACTTTTTTTTTCATATAAAAAAGAAGCATTTTGTGCTATTTCATATATATTGCATCCCCCTTAGTTTTCTGTAATCTGCATATTGAGGTGATTACCCCACAACTGGAAGGACTGGAATTAGGTGGGTCCTTTTATGATCATTATGACTGTAAGTTGAAGGAAGAGGAGGAGCTGCAGTAGTTCTCATTTTACTTGAAATACTGGACTCAGGAACCTGTGTGAGAACCTTGAGCAGCACAATCCCTTACAGAAGGGTCACCATCAAAACAAGTGTAATTGCTTACGGTAGGCTGCTTCTTTCCAAGGTTTTTGGTCTTTGAATTTTGCTTTTCATCACTTTGGCTTGGGCTCTGCCCATCATCTTTTCTTCTTCAGCTTCTTAAGTCACTTATCATTTTTTCAGAGTTGAAGGTCAGATCATTCCACCTGACTTGTAAGCCACAGGCCCTGAAATTTCTTGTACCAGCCCAAGTAATTTCTCTTTGAGCAAGGAATATTTTCTATCTACTTATAGCATGTAATTAAACTTGGAGTCAGACAATTTTAGAAGATAAGGAACTTCCTGTTCTGTTAACAGAAGAACGTCTAGTAAGGGGCTGTGGCTGGAAAAGAGTTGAATCGAGAGTAGGCACCAGCAGTAGAGATGGGACAGCCTTGTTAGGGGAGAGTTTATTTAAAACCAATTGACATACAGTAAGATGGGCCTATGCACATTTGAAGTGGGTCATTTTTATAGTAAAAATGAAATTTAATGAAGACAGACTTTCTTTTCTGAGCAAGAAAGGTGGTTTAGTCATTCAAATATTCGTAGGGGTAATCATTTGGGACAGCTTTCAGTAAAGGGAGAAATAGCAATAGCTCAATTCTAAAATGTTTCAACTAAAGAAACTAAAGTAGCTAAAGAAACTCTAGCCTTGAGAAAATATAAACTGTAAACAATATTTAGTATAGGTTAGGTTCAGCTAAGCCAGTACATTCCTACTATCTCTAAAAGGTAACAAAGAAAAAGGTATAAAACTATTTAATACCTAAGATTCAGCAGTTTGCAGAAGAAAGGCCATTTCTATGTAAACAAATAATCACTGTGACAGCTGCTTAAAGTTTAAAACCTGAAAGCTGCATTTCACAAATTTAAATAATGAGACCCAGGATCACCGAAGCTCTATACGAAGTCAGTGGCGAGGTGGCCATAGAGACTTGGAAAAGCCCAGCTGCTCGTCTTATTTTCTGTGCTTTTAAGTGTGCTAGTTGCTGCTTATTCTATCAAGAACAATGCTGCTGTAGTTTTAAAGAAAGGCTGACATGCCCAAACTATATAGATGTAGAAAAACCTCAGAAGGCAGGCAACATTTACTTTTAAAATAGCTTCTGACAATGACTTAGTGTAATTATACATTCTCCAGACTGAAGTTTGGAAGACTGTTAATTCCCCTGTCAATTTAAAACCTCCTTTTGTATACAGCCAGTGGGTGGGGTGCCACAGCATCCAAGTTAAAAACTCAACCATCTAAGGTTGCTTTTGAGTCTGACAACATACCAACTCAAAACTCAAATTTTGTGGAAGCACAAGTGATTAGAAACACAAAAACTGATTTATAAAACATATTAAAAGAGCATGAAATTAATGAAAAGTTGATTAGTGCACAGTTGTGAGAAACAGCAGAACTCTGCCTGTTGCAGCAACTTCTATGTTAATGGCAGTGTAATCCTGCTGCAATTGCAGTTGTTTCCTAAAAACATTTCTCCATTACTTCCTGTATCCTATATCCTGTCTTGTAATACCCATGTGGACAAAAATTGTTGTGAAAGGTCTTACTGCTCTATCATTGCCTTTATTTGTAATGGCCACTGTAAACTGGATTCATCTGGATTCTCTTTCATACTTCAGAATCAGAACTTTGTGAAACTAAGTGTGTTAGTCTACTGTCATGGAACTCTGAAAATCACTTCTGAAATTGTGTGTATTTAAAGAAATAACTTGTACATACCTAGATGCTGACAATACAGCTCACGCTGCAGTTATCTCAGCGCCACTACATTATGCAGTGGTAGTACAGTAGCTCACACTTGTTTCCCACAGTTCTTGAGTGTGCATCCTAGCTCTTTCAGGTAAGATGTGCTAACCTTATTTTTCCGGATATTAATTAATTCCTTCGGAATAATTCCCTGTGGAATTACTAATTTCTGATTGTGTTGTTCATATATCAACTTCAGTGGTAAATCAGTTAAATCCCTGAGATTTCATATTTTTAGAGTCACACCAGCTTGAATACCAAAGTGCTGAACAGAGGGATGCAATGTATGATCCCCAAGGAAGAAAATACTTAGGGTGTCTACGGCAGCATTCATAGAATGGTTTGGGTTGGAAGGGACCTTAAAGCTCATCTAGTTCCAACCCCCTGCCACAGGCAGGGACATGTTCCACTAGACCAAGTTGCTCCAATCCCCATGCAAAGCATTCTCATGCTTTTCTGCTCTACTTCTATGATTTCCTGAAAATGTGCTGGTTTAAAATATTTCTCTTTTGACAGAATCTCAGTTATGAAGCATTCTGTTTGGGTTTTTTTCTATTTTGAAACAAAGACTCTGCTTCTCCATAAAAGAGAGGAGTGAAAGGACAACATACAATTTTCTAAGTTTGACACATTTTTAAAGTTCAGTTGCTGGCTAGATAGATCTCTTAGTGACATGACTGTTGATGACAACTGATGTACCCATTGCCAAACACTCCTGTACCTATTTATAATTCTTAATACACAGCAGCATTACTGATCAGTAATTTCTGCAGTTTAGAAAAAAATGCTGTCTTTCTTTATCCTTTTTCTATTTTAAACCAGTTTGTTGGTCAAGGAAAGTCAAGAATTGAAGATTGCCAGGAAGAAATAAAAGGTGAATTCTACAAGCAAATTTAGTGGAAAAGCATGTGTGTGTTGAGAGGGTGGGAAGACTCTTGTCTCTGAAAAGAGTTGTATTTCAAATCCTGTATTTCAGTAACGATTGTAAAGAGAACAGAAAAACCTGTCATCAGCTCAATACTCAGCAGTATGAAATCAGAAATAAGCTAGGTTGAACACACCAGCTAGCTTCAGCCTCCTTTGGTTTTCTGTCAAAAGCACCTAAACAAGTCTGGACACCCTTATTTAAGGTTTTACTTAAATTCAGTCAGAGTTTTTCAGTGTATACATAAAATTGTTAGTTTTGTAATGTGGCTTTTGTTCCACTACATTTTAGGAGACAGATTATTAAAATGGTTTTGGGTTTGGTTTTCAGGTTCTGTAATATGAAGTAGAATGATATAAAACAAAAAGTAAACACTACTGTTAAAACTTGAAACTCCAATTCCTTCAAATGTGTCAGAGGTAAGCCTGAAGAATTCCTTAATTGTGTTTTTATACTCAGTCAGCTTGAAAATGCTTTGCTATTTTTACTAGCGCTTATAAACCTGAGCTTCAGATGACTGCTTGACTGTTTGGAATAAGGAGGACAGTTAAGATCAGCTGATGAATAACTTCTTATACTGTTTGCAGGTATTGGTCTATAACTGAGCATTATGGTGGCTGATTCTCTATGGGAAGGGCCTGAACTTTCTCCATAGTGTATGGAGTTAAGAATTCTTAAGAGCCAACATGATGACTGGGGATTTTCTATTTTAGCCACACAGATATGATTAAACACAGCAGAGAGGTGCAACATTTAGCCATTTTGACCTAAGACTGCAGGGAATCAGACATAGTGCCAATGTGTTACTAGCTTTCAGGATCAAAGAGCTGCAGTTTAGAGGCCTTGAAGATATTTAACCTACTTGGCATTCCTACTAAAAGGATAATCTAATTGTCAGCTTAAAGAGGTTTGTAAGCAACTACTGCTTCTACTCCTTTTGCTGAAATTGTGAAAAGAATTAGTGTCTCTTACTCAAGTGAGAGAGAAAGAACCATGCACCAGTGACACTCTATCTTGTGATTAGGATACCTGACTGCAAAAAGAGAAATATGGCTTGATCCCTGCTTGTTTATGCAAAGGTCTCTTGCAAAACTTTCTTCAAAGAACTGACTCCTGCTATGAGCAATCTAACTGGCAAAGTGTTAGCATTTTAGTCTGGCTCAGAAGTAAGCTATGTACTGTGCTTTTTATAGAGTTGTCTCAGAGCATGTGACCTGGATTCCTTTGGGGTAAAATGAGACAGGAGAGGTATTCCTCACGTCTGCCCATGTTATTTGCTAAAGCACCATTCTTTAAATGAATTGGATTATAAACCACTGTTTTCCCCTCTCCATCTTCTTTACGGACAGATTTAAACCTCATATATAACCTGTGATGGAAAAGAGATCAATTAACTTTACCTAAATTCCATCTTTTGAGTTACACTAGAATTCTTCAGCATTAAATATCTGTTCTAGTTAACCTCTAAACACAAAAGCAAATAAAGACAGGACTACTGAGTTGAAAACTCAAGATATTGTATCTAACAAAAACGTACTGCTGTAAAGTACAGCTACAACAAACATTGTATATCGAGTAAAACACTTCCAGAGATTCATGCTAACAGTGGATGCAGTGACATTCTCTGTCTTCCAAGGCAGTATCAGACACATCTTATATTGTTAAATTCATCAGTGCAGCCATAGTTACAGAAAAGAAAATGACAAAATTAAGACCTGATGTAAACAGCTGAAGTTTATGATAATGGGTTAGCTAGTTCCAACAGTGATGTAAAGATTATGTTAGCAAATAGGTCAGATAATAGGTGTAATTTTCTTCACCTTGATCTCCAACGTGTGTTTATAATGCACAAATAAGACAACAGATAGAGAAAATCAAACAGAATAAAATAATCCAATAAATTAAATGGGCATAGGAAAAGAGTATTTCTAAAGGGTACAAGAAAATCTGATACTCTTTAGGGAAACTGTAAAGACTAACAGTGTTAAGAATTAAAACCTTCTCTCAAAGAAGAAAGTTGACAAATGAGTACTTTCATGATGTGCTTTCCTTGAAGCTCTGAAGCATCTTGATATGTATAAATCAATATCTCATTTTTCAGGATATGTTCTGTACTCTAAGGAAGTGTCCTTGCTTAGCTCATTGGATATGAAGTGAGGTGCTGTGAGAACTGCCCACAGAACTGACACTGCTCATTACCCTGGCCAAAATTACCTACCATCACCTGGAATAGATCAGATACCATTAAATTAAGAATTGAAGCCATGTATATTATGGTTCGTAATGAAATAACAGCCTTTGTGTCCAGACAGATACATTTGTCTGATCATAAGAAATTTTGCGAATGTGACTCCCTTAAGAAAATGGTAAAACACCTTAAAAGATTTATAGATCTTAAGGGTATGCAGTGTCAAGGCTCAGTAAACTCAAAAATGGAAGTTAAGTTTACAGCGCAGAACTTTTATTTGTATCAGCCATTCAAATTTATTTACTCTTTAGTGTTTCTCATCTGAATTAATAAAAAATGCCCTACATCTTCTATTTAATTTTTAAATCACATTTTCAAAGCTTTCTGCATGGCTGTGCAAATGAATCTTAAATTTTCTAGCCCAGCAACAAAATTTGCAGATTTTTACATAATTTGGGCAGCTAACACTTCAGAAGGGTATCTTAGCTAAGTACCTTGATTGTAATGATTAAAAATTTAACTGCTGCATTTTTGGGACAGTGTGTTTGAAGAGTGGGTTTGAGTAGTCACTCTAGAGGCACTTGCAGGTATGGCTCCATGTGGTTCCAGTTTTGCCACTCCTCCTATTGAAATGTGACAATATCAGGAGACAGACTAAACCACTGACAGCCTGACAAGCACGTCTTTTTTCTTTCCACTGCCAAAGCAAGGTGATGCATTTTGATTTGTTTCCAAGCATACTGGGAGGTAACTTAGATAACTTAGGAAAAAGCTAGCTAGGGAAACCTACTGCCCATTCTAACCCTTACTGCTCTTAAGAGAATGTTGAAAGCAGAGAGTGGCACTTTATTTTTGGCTAACAGATCTCTAACAGGTCACCCATTTTAAAAAATGGTTATCTTTTCTGTTCACATCCTTATTACACCAATCATCCATAACTTTGGCACACTGCCATATATTTTACTTATGATTATCCTTTGAGGCTATTCAGAGGCTTGAAGCTAATGCTCCTGATAGTGGCTGGTAGTAACAAATTTCAACCAGCCACACAAAATCATAGAATCCCAGACTGGTTTGGGTTGGAAGGGACCTTAAAGTTCATCCAGTTCCACTCCCCTGCCACAGGCAGGGGGACACCTTCCACTAGACCAGGATTGTCCAAGCCTCGTCCAACCTGGGCTTGAACACTGCCAGGGATGGGGCAGCCACAGTTTCTCTGGGCAACCTGTGCCAGTGCCTCAGGACCCTCACAGGGAAGAACTTCTGCCTAAGATCTCATCTTTCTCTCCACTCTGTCAGTTTAAAGCCATTACCCCCTGTGCTATCCCTATATGCCCTTGTAAAAAGTCTCTCTCCAGATTTCTTGTAGCCCCTTTAGGCACTGGAAGTTGCTCTAAGGTCACGCTAGAGCCTTCTCTCCCCCAGGCTGAACAAGCCCAGCTCTCTCAGTCTGCCTCCAGAGCAGAGGTGCTCTAGCCTTTGGAGCATCTCTGTGGCCTCCTCTGGACTCTCTCCAACAATAATACATTTGTTTTCTGTGTGCTAAAATATTGAAACAGCTTGACATTAAAAGAAGAAGAAAAAAAAATTCAAGAAGTCCTTTCTAATGTTGAACCTTTCAACCTAAAAGAATTCACTTCCTACTTTTTGTGGATTCAGGTCAGACATAAGTTTGTAGCTACCCGCCAAGATTCAGCTCCGACAAATCGGCCAGCACCCCTAGGATGCACCAGAATGGGGCTTATGCCCTCTGCTGGTCTGCTAGATCCTGACTCGGCTGCTATGGAAGGTAGAATTCATCTTGGATTTGGTAAAACAATCTCCAAGTGATGTCTAGGCATCACAGAGTGAATCTTTATTGACTTTTAACTTTTGCCTCAAATTAGGACTGAGACATTGAAACAAAATCAAGATATTCTCTATTGTATAGTCATTTTTTTATGTAAAGGTTATGATTGATGGATCTCTACGCTAACTTCTATGCAAAACCCCGTATTTCACTAGCTTAAACAATTTCCAACAATGTTTCAACAAGCAAGAAAAACGCTAAGTAGCTTCCTAATCTTTATAGCTAATCTCAGGCTCATGCCATAAAAGTTACAGTTTAACTTGCCTTGTTAGAGAGCCCAATTTGCATGCAATACTCAATGTTTTATTGTGGAGATATGTAGAATCCACCACTACCAACAAAAAACCCCGTACTGGCAAACCAAAACCTAATATTGGCAATACCTTTGGTGGAAATCCTCCTTCATATGCAGGCCAGTTACAAAAATGTGCAATAGGTCTTCCTGTTTTATTCACAGAAATGCTCATCTCTGGCTATCCTAAGCAAAAGAGGGATGTCAAGTAATGGCAGAAAATACAAATTGTTTTATACACAAAATTTACTTTGCTTTCTAAGTGTTTGATAGGTAGGGTATTTGTATAGACATTTTTAGTAACTTAACTTTACCTGATGCAATTTTCAGGCTCACTTTTGCAGTAATTACATCTGAAACATGCCCAAAGTAGCTGGCCCACCAGTGGAGTCCTCAACAAGCCATCCTCCAAAGGAGAACGGTGTGTAGCCAATCCTAACAGCAGGCTTAGAAAAATAAGCAACATGATTTATGTAGTATGTATAAATTAAAAGGATTAACAACTAGGATTAATATTTTCATTGTGCTACCACCAGCCAAACGATTTTACCTCAGCAATGATTTACTGTTCTGGATGAGAACGATCATACTGCTTGCTTTCTTAAGCTGCTTGGTGTTCAAACAATTGTAATTTGGAATTGGATAAACCTTCTTACCATTTTTATGGTCCATTTCTTAGTTTATGGTTAACCATGGTTTATGGTTAACCATAAACTATAACCATATAGTTAAACCACTGTCGTGGTTTAAACCCAGTCAGGTAACTCGTTCACTCACTTCCCCACCTTCTTTCCCTCCCCCTACTCCCGGAGGGATGGAGAGGAGAATCAAAAAGAATGCAACTCCCACGGGTTGAGATAAGAACAGTTTAGTGTCTAAGGTATAACATAAATCACTACTGCTACCACCAATAATAACAATGATAAAGGAAATAACAAGGTAAGAGAATACATCACCTCGCCACCAACCAACCGATAACTCGGCCCCCCAGGCCCGACCAAGCACCGACCGATACCTCCTCCAACCCCGCAGTCTCCCAGCCCTTCCGGCTAACTCTCAGTTACATCCTGGGCATGACGTGCTGTGGTATGGAATACCTCTTTGGTCAGTTTGGGTCAGGTGTCCTGTCTCTGCTTCCTCCTTGCTTCCCCTCCTCCCTGGCAGAGCATGAGGCTCACAAAGTCCTTGGGCAAACCAAAACATCGCTATCAGCTCTGTTCCCAGGCCGAAAGTCAAAACCACAGCACTGCACCAGCTACCAAGAAGGAGAAAAATGACTGCTACTGCTGAACCCAGGACAGATCTATGGGTGTAATTCTTGTTCTATGCATAATTTTTTTTTTACTCTTGTTTCTCTCACCTCCCTTTTTTTGCTTACTATTGCTGCAGTAAGCAAAAGCCAGATTTTTCACCGAGTCCTATCACACTTTTACATTTCATTCTATAGACTTAAGCATTAACTATTTAACATCTGACAGCTCCCATTAAATTGGCACACTTAGTCTCAAGAACTAACATGACTGAGATCAACTGGAGGCAATCTGGCCTTTGGAGCTGAGAAAAGCCTCAAGACAGAACTTCAAGTTTGTTCTTACAGTCCCTCCACAGTCATCAGACTGAAACAATGTGTAACACAGGTACACTTCACCAGGTCAAGGAACCTTCCATCCCTGTTACTTCACCTGATGAAGCTACTAATTGGCTGTATTCCTTTTAGTCTCAATTAATAGCGGTATAATTTGTATACTATGTTTGTTAAAACTTGTAAAGCGAATACAGTTCCACCCTTATACAGGCCACATCAGTGTTTGGGATTTTTTTATCATGTTATTTGTGGGGACATGCATATATGAGCCTAGTCAGCTGTGCTACTGACACCACAGCATTAATGCTACTGGAAAAAAAAAACCAACAGTATCATTAGAACGTCAATTCTGTGCACTACAAGAGAAGCACAGACCAGCTCTTTGCATGTGAGGGAGCATTCAGGATACCCATAACCACACTCCCCTGACAGCACACGGCGGGATCGGAAGGAGTCCTGCCTTCACCAGACAGCTCTGCTGCTGAGAAGGAACGACAAACAACATCCCTTAAGCCTCCCGCTCCCTCCTGGTTTATTATTTGGCAAAAGTTTCACAACGTGGGACAAGAGGAAATAGCCACAAGTTGCAGCAGGGGAGATTTAGACTGGATATTGGGAACAATTTTTTCACTGAGAGGGTGATCAGGATTGGAACAGGCTGCTCAGGGCAGTAGCGGAGTCACCGTCCCCGGAAGTGCTCACAAATCGTGTAGACGAGGCCCTTAGTGACATGGTTTGGCGTTGGCTTTAACGGTGCTGGGTAACAGTTGAGCTTGATGACGTTTTCCAACCCGGTTGAGTCTATGATTCTATAAACCGTGTTTTCTGAGCTCCAAAACAGAGTCTGCAACGCAACACGTTCCCGGGTTCGTAAATACTCATCCCAGCTGAACGACGGAGAACACCTCGGGTCACTCTCGTGCACGGGAACGGCAGCAGCTGCAGGGACACTCTGAACCGCCAGGTCGCTCCGCGCTCGCTTCAACGCGGCTGAAGGCGCAGCAGCGCCCCGGACGCACCCCAGAAGCAGCAGCCGCTTACCGCCGGCTGTCCCGCGGCCTGCCCCGGTCAGATGAGGGCCGTTACCGGACACCGTTACCTCACGCGTCCCCTCAGGCGGCGGGCGCCCCGAGCGCACGCAGGGCGGCGAAAGAGGTACGATGGCAGCACGAGCCATCCCCCTTGGTCTTTACGCCGGAGCGACACGGGCAGAGTGACATCACTGAGCGTGGGGTCTCCCATAGGGCGCAGCGAGCGGGCTGCCCGCGTCAGGCGGCTTCCGGCAGAGCGAATAGGTGGCCGAACGGTGCGCGGCACAGCGCTATGGCGAGGCCTGGGGAAGGACGGCAAGGAGGCCCTAAACAACTAACCAATTAGCAGCAAGTCCTTCGCACAGCCGCTACCAATCAGAAGTGCCAGTTTCCAAAACAAGGGTGACGAGCCAATGGGAAAACCCTGAGCCGCCAGAGTCCTGCCAATCGGGTGCAGGCCGTGCCCGCGGCCTCCCAGCGGCAGAGGGCGCGCTTCGGGGCGGGCGGGAGGCGGTGGCGCTGCTGAGGGCGGGGCGGGGGAAGTGCTGTCGCTGTTACCGCTGCTGCCGCTGTCGGTGTTGGTGCCGCTGCCGCGCTCCCCGCTCGCTGGCTCCACCTTCCGCGGCGCTGCGTTCCCGCGGGCTTGAGGGGCAGGTAGGGCCGCGCGGCTGGCTGGGTGTGTGCGCGGCCGCGCCTGCTTGCGTTTGTGAGCGAGATCCGCGCTCCGGTTCCCCGCGCGCGGTGGGGGCCCTCCGCCTGAGGGGCGGCTCTCTGGCGGGCGCGGCCGGCTGCGGCCCTTGTCGGTTCCGCTGGAGGAGGGCGCCCCTGGGGAGAGCTCTCCGGCGGCGACAGGAGCCGGTTGGTGCGAACAAAGGCGACAGTGGCGGGCCGGCCGGGGCCGGGGCGGGGCGGGCGGCGGCGCTGAGGGGTCACGGTTCGCTGGCGGGGGCCGGGCCCGGCGGGCTGGCGGCGGCCGCTCCGCAGGAAAGCGGGTGGTTTAAGAATTCGCCTGTTGCGCTGGGACAGGAACGAGCCTTGGTGCTTGGCGGGGAAAGTGAAGAGCGAAGCGCTGACAGCGGCCCGCAGCGGGACGGTGTCCGGCCCTTCCCCGCGTCTTCCCGGGCAGCCGCCGCGGCCGCTTCGGCCGGGACGAGTTCTTCAGTAGTTCTGTGGGCGCTGTTATTTGTGCTCTCGTTCGTATGGCTGAGGGGAAAAGCGACGCCGTTTTCCGCTGCTGTTGCGTGTTAAACAGTGTTCCTGGTGAGGCAGCGCTGATGTTGTTGCAACAGTCATAACTGTATTGCGGGAAGTAAAAACCAAACAAAAAAACCCCAAGACTGTCAATTACAGTCATCAAAGTCGATTACCAGAGCTTATCCTGGTGTAAATTCTGTTGATAAATCTGGATTTATTGTTACGACGCTCATTCTGCTCAAATTGTGGGTCTGTTGTAAATGAAATGTCCAAGGGAACTGTAAACCAGAGTCTTCCACCCTCCTTAACTTGCTAGGGAATGAAGCTACTTTATAGAGTGTCTTTGTTCTCTCCTGTTTCTTTCAAGGATTAAAAAAAAAAAATAAATAAATGTCGGAAAGCTATGAAAATAGAAAGCAAACCTTGAACAGTATCTCATTATTTTGTGGGTAGGGAACAGGTGGGAGGAGATGCAACTAAACAGTTAAGATAAAGAAGGTGATATGAAGAGTTGTTAAACTGTTGCTGTGTATTCGGTTTCATTTGTTTTATTTAGGTGTTTAATTTTGACAGCAGTCAAGCTTGTTTCTGTTTACAAAAATAAGAACCGAAACCGAGTTATGTCTGTGTTAAGTGATTTATTTCAGCTGACAGAATTGTGTGGTTGTGTCCAGAAGTGTTAGATTAAGCAGAATTAAAACGGTTGAAACATGTGTCATGTGCTGCTTTCCCTGTTTCCCAAAGCGTGTTGCATGTTTGAAATGCCTCATGTAATGGCCCAGTGATGCACGAGCAGGCACATGGAATGTTTTGTGGTTTTGCTCTCTGAGAGAGATATTTCTAAAAAGGCTTTGTATTAAGATTTCTATTTTCCCTTCCTCATCTTGATGCCAGTCCAAGTCTTGTTGAGCAGTTTACAGTCTCTGTAAAGCACGGTATAATTTGCACTGTAGTTTATTATCTGCAATTATTCACTTGAACTGTCGGGGAGGTTAGGGTGGGCAATAAAACTGCTTTGAGATATCTGCCTAGGTCAGGCTTGTTCTGTGTTGGGTAGATGCTTGATGTCCAGTTTGATTCTTGGCTGGGCTGGAGCTGGTTTGGTCAGTGACTCCTCTTTAGGAAGCAGTTGGGATGTAGCTGCACGGGCACCGTCTCCTGTTCTCACTTGTCTCTGCTGAGGTCAGGGTCTGCTGTCCTGTGCCCCTGGGTGGGAACCATACGTATACGGAGAACTGTTTGGATCCAGCTACCTGAGCACATTATGCTCGTTGCTGCTCTTACAAGAGCAGGAGATAGCAGCAGAGATGGTGTCGTGGTTTAAGCTCTGCCGGTAACTCAGAACTACGCAGCCGCTGGCTTACTCTCCCCCTTCCTCCCACCGCTCCTGGGGGAATGGGGAGGAGAATCGAAAGAATGTAACTCCCACGGGTTGAGATAAGAACAGTCCAGTAACTAAGGCATAACACAAATCACGGGTGCTGCCACCAATAATAATAATAATGATAAGGGAAATAACAAAGGGAGATAATATAAAAGGGGAAAGGGAAAAGAAAACAATAAACACAAGTGATGCCCAGTGCAATTGCTCACCACCCGCTGACCGATACTCACCCGACCCGAGCAGCGATCTGGGCCTTC